ACACAACCTACTATTGCTGATTCAGTAGAAGAAATTTATATCTTTAGTAACAGGTGCGCTGCTTATTGGGAGACGATGGGGAAGCCACCCAGTTTGATTTAACACGCTTTGAGAGGATAGGCTGTAGTTGGTGCGTGCAAGCGAACCTAGTCTTGAGCCACACTTCGGCCGATTAATCTGTGAAGACCTGCATTAAGCCTGGTAGAACACAGAGCAATGTGGGGGGGGCAGAAAAATGCATCTAATCAATCACAGCATAAAGGTTGTGGGCGCCCAGCCTGCTACCATGACCATACTGGAGCAGTCTCCCTTCCATAAGAAGCCATTTCCCCACTCTGTTTCACATTATCGCACAGTACATTTAACCACCAGTTTGGTCGCCACAAACATCAGGGTCTACCTCTGTTCCAGAAATTTATATTCCGAAAAACACGTTTGCTTCGTAATTACTCCAATTGTTGTTTCCATAGCATTACTATTTCAAGGACATAAAACAGTCAAACAGCAACAATATCACCACTTTTATCCATCCTCCTGAGTAGAGTTTTGCATCTTGGCCAGCCAAAATAATGTACTTGACCCTTGTTCGCAGAAAGAAATTTTCTGTACAGTACTGACATAGCGGAACGACTAGGTGTCTGGAGAGCAGAGATAATTGCTGAAGTTTACAGTTTTTATTAGACATTCGCCTTCCAGCACATCGTTTAGCAGAAGTAAGGAGATGCTCATTTTCACAATGACTGCAACTGGTCATTCGTTTCGTTTCTATTCAAGTAGGCAGAGTCTGGGAACTACCATGTCACCTTTGTCGACATTGTCATTATAACAGAATTTATCGCATCGGGATTGTTCCATGAGGGGAGTCAGTAAGGTCAGAATCAAAGCTGGAAATAAACTAATGTATTGCGGTCGTGATATTGGACCGCCACAAGCCCATTATTCACAAGGACTGACGAAATTCAAGTCCGTTAGTTTGACCGTCTCAAGCAACTATTTCCAGCGTGCGGTCTAGACCAGGCTAAATACAGATCGGTGACATTCACGTGAATTATTTCATGATTAATAAAAATTTTCTGGGAAGTACGAGATCTGGTGGTGGTCTAGATAAATATAAATACAGAATGGTGACTTTTGTGTGAACTATTTCAAGATGGAGTTGTCGGGTTAATATTACAGCAGGACCGGAGATGCACGACGAGGCGGTTTTCTGTGCGTGTGAGTATGGCTATCTGTGCCCAGAGTCTTCGACCTCACTCTCTATTCCCATCCACCGACTCCAACCACCGTCAGAGCCGATCAGTCGTCAGGTGCGGCTAATGGACGCGGTGGCTGACACAGATAGTAGCCTTGCATGCGTCCGCCACATACACCACCTGCGGCAGCCTATACGCTCAGTGACATAGTACAGACTCTACTACCTACTCGGACTCTCTGCATTTCGACTAACTGTACTCGTTTTTCTCGGCCATTCCAAATCACGGTGTCTCCACAAGAAACTGTCAAACAGAATCTGATCCGGCGTCCATTTGCCTATCGTCTAGAATCGAAAGGGCATTTTGACAGCTCTGTTGAGTTTTTCTTTTATACTTACCAGCACGTTTGGCCGAGACAACGTGTATCGCAGAAGTTAACCGCTAAATTGCAGTAACTCAGGTTAAAGTAAGGTCTACAGGCGGCAACCGAAATTTGGTGTATGAATATTTGGGCCGAATTGCACCAACCACAGCGGGTTAACTTCGGAATATTCATTAAATTGCAAACAGGTAGCTAGTAGTATATGTTGGGGAAAAAAACAATTAGCAAACTAGGAGCTTCAACAATCACCCTCGATTTTCAGCAACGATCACAGTTACTTATACGGTTTATTACGCTTATTACACCAATCGGACGGCTCCAGCTGTCGTTGATTGTCAAACGGCCAGCGAGAATTGGGTAAAATATCAACGCGTGTTGCAATCTGCGTTGCCACAACTGAACAGAGTGTGTCCATAGAGACTCAAGAGCAGTTCTTGACAGGGAAGATTGAAACCCTCGGCTGAATTTTGACGAAGTTAGAGTTGGGGCATCTATCTAAGTTACCTCAGCCGACGGACTGCCAGCATTGTCCATTGGACGAGTCCGGTGTGCCAGTCAGAATCGGGTTGAATGTCACCGCATGGCGCAATCGTGAGCGAGCGCGCGTACGCAGTCAACAGGTTACACGATGATGTCACAAATAAAATTATGTGTCTCGGTTTAGCACCTAGAGCCGCTCTTTCACTCTGGGGATGGAAACACGCGGCTGAATCCTTGCTGCTTTACCTCAGACCTCTTCAGCTGCTGTTGACAGTGGTGACTGAAATCCCCGGCCGACAATCTGTACCTCGATGACGACTGTGCACAGTCTGCACGAGCTGCGCCAATCATTGATGAGCTACCTTGTACTCTGCCTTCACACAAATAACGGTGAACGGGAGGGGGGGAGGGGTGACAAGCGCCTTGGGGCATCCGCATTGTTTTGTACGTTTCACAACTACCCACATATTGCCGCCTTCCATTTGGAGAAAAATGTCCGAGTGTCGGACGCATGGCGTAATCGAATGAGGCACGTTAAGGAATATATTCTTTTTAAAGTTTCAGAAATGAAATTCGCGAATAGGTTATTACTTACACCCAAAACGCATATGTTAAAAGTCGTGGTCAAACTACTCATCTCGAATTCCCACGTGGCACTCTATTACTGAGATGTGGCAGAGAAACCGTACGTATATGAGACGAGTATTTAAGATTCCAGCGGCAGAATATCGGTGAAACCCGCGTGTATCGATTTTTGACTAGTACTATGCGGGTAGTATGGTATCACCTTAACCTAGAGTAAACTGCTAACCGTTTTTCGGTAGCTAATGGATATTACGCAATTACGCGATGTGACTGATGGACTTTGTCCAAACATTCATACATAAAATGCTCGATCTGAGCTTTAGAGCTTGAATAAACTGATCTACTGCAAGTTCGTAAATAATCTCTACGGAAATTAAAAAACGACACTTTTTGCTTATTAAGTACTTCTTAATCAGTTTAGCCCAACAAAACTGGTCGCCGTCTATCTGCTTGCAGTTCCCTAGATTGGAGACATAAATTGCAACCTCACGGTCAGGTCCCAGCAACGGTCGATCATCTGAATTCCTTGAATTTCTTAAGAGATCTTGAGGTCAGCTCGTGAAATACTCAAAAATGCTCGATTTTCACTTAGACTCGACTAATGCGTACATGAATGTGATTTGCAATCACCTCATAGGTCCCATAGTAAAGGTAAGATGATTGGAATATTTCTGCGGAAGTTTAGCTGCTCACAAATACTACTGAGGTATTTACGGACAGTCATATAAAGTAGATTGTTTTCTAGTTTGTCCGCCACCATTGCCGCTGCCGTCTACTAACACTACAACTGTCGTATCCGACGAGGTCGCCGTGAGACTCAGAACATGGTGGTGTGGGGTAGTAACTTTCATGGTATTTGTTTCACAGTGGTATAGGACATGCACAGCATCTACCGCACACTCACGTCCTACTCCTCACCCCCACCTGCGTCGCGTGACTTGAACACTTTAAACAGACCGGAGATGTTAGAGAGCACAGACGGCTGGCGCGGTTGCAAATGTCCCAAGGCGTGCCAACAAACGCCCAGAGTCACAACATAAACTAGACCCGAACAGAATTTTTTGTCCGTTATTGAAGCTTCGATAGTGTAAATAGGCCATATTATCAAAATCAGGAATTTTTTTCTGACGTTCGAGCATTTGCGTTTATTTTTGGACAGAAAAGCCAAATAATCGAATTCAAATTTATCCTTACTCAAGAGAGCTAGATTCCCAAGTTAATTGTGGTCAAAAGAAGGAAATGGCGGCATTAACAAAACACAAAAAGCATTAGACATCAGCAGTCGTCTGTACCTACGACATAACCGAGATCAAATGCCTTCCATAAATCATCGAGCGCACACGCCCAATATCATCTCCATTCATCTGGAGCACGAGACACCAGCCTTTCCTCGGAAACGAGCATGTGCGGTTGAAGTGTTTGTCTGTAGGCAGAAAATATTCGAAAAAATGAATAAGAACCCTCATTAGTGGGGGAAAACAAGGTCAAGACAGATATGTGTCGGGTAAACAAACAGATCTACCTACAGGCAGACTGTTTCTGATGATGGGTTCAATTGAGGATCTGAAATGTCAGGCCAATAAATTTCTTCTTCCAGTGATCGCATCTTTGTCTTCTAAAGCGATATGTGCCCGGAAAACAAGCAGATATACCTTCAGTCAATGAAAGAGCCGAGTGATGCCGCGCTATTCTTTTGCCTGCCTTCTCGAATGATGATCTGGAATAGACAACCCGGGCACATATCCTCAATGGGTTATCCCAGCTTGATCCTCGCAATGTGCCTTCCCTTTCCCCCACCCCCATAATTGCAAGGAAATCCGGTTCTAATTTAGAGGATCTGCATTTAATCGTTGCTGAAAATTGATTGGTTTCGCAATAGCAATGTGTCCCCCGTTAGCACCCCTCCAAGTCAGATCTCCCAATCAGGATCAGGGACTTGGCGATAGTCTAAAACTCGTCGATCCGGTGGCCAACAACGATGTCCAATAGCCTAGTCCATCAAAATGAATTGCTAAGTGGACCACGACCAGTGCTGCACTTTTTGCTACTTGTTCAAACCGCTTGTCCGTTAGTCAAGGCCTTATTAGACAAAATAACTTCCTCTTGCTCGGACGGCTACGGTGTACGTTGCTGCCTAGCTAGGCAACAAGTCTTCGCCTTATTCTTAACTAAGTCCATTTGCGTAGGAGTGTCCCTACGCATGAGAGACAACAACACGTTGGCAGTTGCACAACTTAAAAGAAAAACAACTCATTCACGAATAAACAGATCCATCAGCACCCCTGCCAGCGTTAACCATCAGCCGTGTGGAGGCAGAGGGCGGAACATTTCGCCATGCAGTGCATGCAGTCTGCAGAGTCACTATGGAGGAGTGGAGAGTCAGCCGTGTTTTGCCAGCCACGCAGTGAAAGGCGGCGCAGTGATCCCCACATTGTTTTGGTTGTGTCAACCTGGCGTCACCTGTTTTGTACCCGCGCACGATTGTGCCATGCGATGACAACCTACCGGAATCTGACTGGCATCTCGGATGCGAACAACAATCTGTGGTTCGGTGGAGCCCTATAAGTAGCATTGGTTGATGTGGCAGTCTCAACTGTACTGGTGCTTGTGCTGGTCTTCCGGAGCTCGTGAGTTGATTTTTCGTCTCTTGTTCTCCTCCTCTACTGACTGCACGCATTACAGTATGTGGTCATTTCATCCTAAACATCCCGCTTTCAGAATTTATCATGGCCAAAGTAGGCAGAGGTGTGCAGATTGGTCTGTCCTGGGTGAAGACGAAACCCGGTGGTCTTCCAGACGGTGCTATTGAGGTACAGCCCGGCATATACGTCTGCCGTGCCTGGCATGATGGTGAACAGATTCCCGGAAAGTACATTCCCCGACTTGCGCTCGCCTACATCCCGTACGGTGGCGAGGAACACCATGAGAGGGACTGTGAAGTACTCTGTGACACCAGCTGTCCCGGACAATCTTGCTGGTAAGCAGAACTACCGAACACCACTCCCTTTGTTTCTAGATAATATGAAATTAAGTGCTAACTCCCATTTCATTAACGAACAATTCCTGTTGGAAAAGCCAGTGTGTATAAGAGTCGACAAATTGGAATCAGGAAGGCAAGATTGGTATTATAATCTGCAATATTTCGGGTAGTGCATAGGCTGTTAAGAAGCTAGCAACGACAATTGTTCAACCAAAGTAATGACCACATATAGACGTTGTATGTGACTTCACGATATGATGGTTTTTGCCCCAGCAGAGTCCTAACGCTACCTCAGTTGCAGTCTAGCCCGTGGACTTTGGTAAACCGGGTGAGGTATTGGCAATCAAGAGACTGATTCGCCAGACAGACCATATTTTCTGCCAAATAGTCTCCCCAGAAGTTATTCAAATTTCGACAGGACTGATTTCATAGACAATATCAATCTGATCGGAAAATCTATGAAGGTTGTCGTGATCAGTTTTTGATGACAAGCTACTACTGACTGTTGTTGCCAGTTCCCGTGCCCCAGACTCCGTCACTGCTTAGGGCACATCACCTACTATGCTTGTGGTCGTGATGAGAGGATTATTTCTAATTGTTTCCTTTTAAAACATTCCCTGAATACACAGTCCGAACTGACACTGCATTTTTCCACTATGCCCCTCTTTGCTTAACCAGTTACGAATGGGTGTCGGCCAGTGGAGGCGAGGTACCGAAGAGGGCCATTGTGGCGGGCATGGCGTCCGATGATCAACCGCTGTATATCGCCAAGGCCCCTGTAGCCAATGAGATTGCTGCAGGCAAGGTGAGTTGATTATTTTTCACTCTGGACTTCTCAGAGCAGGGCAGTCAGCCCAATCGTTGACCTGCAATCAGTCTTTATTTTTGGTTTTCGGAAGTTTATTTAAAAATAGATTTTGCATCTTTGTCTGGAGTTTGCTCGATTGATCAGCTAGTTTATAGCGATTGATGAAATCTTAGATTTAATTTACATTAAACACTGGTAAACTGATAAACGATACTTCGTCCTTGTGTCAGAGGATGTTACTTGGATTATTCTTATTATTGACATCAGTTCATTGTTGCAAAGACGTCAAGGCATTCAAGGAAGTTATATATTAGCATTGAGGTTTCTGTGTACAGAGTAAAATCAGTTGGTTAATAGACGACAATTTTCCGAGTACCCGAAATCGTCATTTTCAGGAACGAACTACGCCTACGAAATTTGATAATTCTGATCCAGTAAGTTGATCGCCTACCTGAACTTCGAGCCTGAGCAGACACCGCGTGCATTAATCTATCTAGATTTTAAGACAAAAGACGTCGTGGATTACAGCAGCTCAAATTCGATTGAGGCAGGCCCACGACTGACTTGCGCACCGGGGGTGTGGGTTTCTGTCGGGACGGACATGTTCAGCGCAGAGATCATTACGCCCTAGTCACAGTTATTTTGTGCATGTCGACTACGTGCACCTTGTGGTAGACCAATGGCGTTAGGTCATTTTCACCTAGTACATTTTCGGATAGCACGCGCATTTTATACTGCTTTTATTGCTAAATACGCCTAGTAACACTTCTTCTTGTTGCCCATTAGGTTCACGCCGGACACTCCTGCGCCTATATGCCTTACGGGGATGTTGAACACTCGGTTGACGACTATGAAGTCCTGGTATGGAAGAAAAAGTAGTAGAGGGCAGGCTGGGAGCTAACTACTCCAAAACGCACATGACCCCCTGTGATGAAATTTCTCAGGAAACGGAGTAAACACGATTCCTCTAAACTCCCATTTGGTACATAAATTTGGAAAATAATTTTTTTCAGGTTGTTCTTTGCATTAGTTTTTCTATAGTAATAGGCCGAAATGGGTAAGAAAAGGGCGTAGCACGGAGTGGTTGAAGCTATCACGGTGAACGGTGAAAGTCGTGTCTTGGAATGTTGCCGACTGACGGGATAACTGGGGTCTCGCAGTCAGTCCAACATGCGTTTGTGTAAGATGGCGGACTGAGATTCGGGTTGCATTGTCGCTTTCTTTTATGGTAGTCACATTTCGTGGGAGCCGACACGCCCTCCATCTGTTTTGTTGTATAAAATACTGGTCAAGTTTACGTTGTGGATCTGGGCGTTTGTTGGCACGCCTAGGGACAGTTGCGAACGCGCCAACCGCCTGCGCTCTCCACCATCTCCAGTCTGTCTAATGTGTTCAAGAAAGGCGACGAAGGTGTAGTGAGGAAGACGTGAGTGTGCGGTAGATGTTGTGCATGTCCTATACCACTGTAAAACAAATCACACCCAAGTTACTATCACACGCCACCATGCTGTGAGTCTCACGGGGACCTTGTCGGATACGATAGTTGTTGAGGTGTACCTTGAACGTACAGTTCCTATTCGACAACAATCTATATAGGCAGATGGACGGCGTAGCCGTGGGCTGACCCTTGGCGCGCTTTCGATGAATATATAAATGGGAAGTTAGAAGCTTTCCAGCTACGTCACCAGATCAACGGTTTAAGATACTATGGGCGTACGTGAATGATATATTCGCAATTGCACCGAAACAACCTGACATCTCAATTCTACTGGATGACATAAATCAGGTGCACCCATCAATAAAATTGACTCTAGAAGAAGAACAGTTCGGTTCACTTCTCTTTCTGGATGTGATTCTGAGTAGAAGGCCTGACGGCAGCATTCGACATAGCGTCTATCGTAAGAAAACATGGTCCGGACAATACACCCATTTTGGGAATTTCCTACTGCTTAACGTTAGACTTTATTTAGTTCGCTGTTTGGCAGTAAGTATGAGAAGAGTCTGCTCAGCTGCTAGCGTCGAGAAAGAGCCTAAGATAATCGAAAGTCTTTTTCGCCAGAACGGCTATCCTGACCGATTCATTGTTAAGGACATGACCGAAAGATCACGAAAGCCCCCGATACTGACGGCAGGAAAGAAAAGGCTCTTCATCAGGGTCCCATTTCAAGGGGATGCGCCAAGTGGACTTTTAAGAAGACGCCTAACTCAAGCTGTATCACAGACCTTTCCAGCAAATGTCACCCGTGTACCGTTCTCCACCAGTCCCATCCTATACGGAGAAGACAAGAGCAAACTACCAGCTCAGACCACCTCTATGTGTATTTACTGGATCAACGGCTCCTGTGGGTCAGAACATATTGGTCGCACGAGCCAGCGTCTATCCAAAAGAATAAAAGAACATCTTCCAGCATGGTTATAAAAGCATCAAATAAAGAACATCAAGAGCTCGATCCTCGTGCACATGCCAGACACAGACCACCGCGTAGACGACAGAGAGGACTTCAGAATGATTTACAGGGTCCAGTCGAGCGACGCAAATCTACTTAGGCAGTGATTTTTGGCTACGGCCGAAACGGCAGCAATCAGACTTTGCTGACCGGTTCTATGCGCACAGAAGAACTTCATACAGGTCCCACAGTTGCCATGACTCAAAACCACCAAACCAGCCATCCGCATGTAATTTCCTTCACCGGGACCCACATTCTCCCTGACGCTGACTGGAATTGTGGTGTTTCACTCTCCCCTCCCCTACCCCTCCCTCCCAAAACTCGAGCTAATGTTTAATTACCTACTTGCCCATATCTTATAATTCACTACTTCAATAGCCATATAAATAGTCCACATAAATGTAGAGGCCTGAAGAGAATTTGTCGAAAGCAGACGTATGCTGGCCAAAATGCCTTTTAAAGGAAGAACCTTGTAAATTGTATGGTGAATTCTATGCTCCGGGTTGTCAATATGGTACGGTTCTTCAGAGCGAATGTTTCATGATACTATAGCACCATCTACAAACATTCGCTACGAATGCTCATCGAACAGGGACTCGGGCACGCTTTGTCTACCCATAGGCTTACGGTTACATTTCGACTACACAGATTAAATAGTATCCCAAGAAATATAAGTTGAAGCCAGATGTGCCCTTTTGGAAACAGCTCGGTGCTTGTCATTATATCAGCGTGCCAGGTCAAATTCAATGGGTGACTTCCTATGGCTTTGAACTGATAAATAAATAAAAAATGAATATAGTAAATACTTATGCACTTAACCTAGTGGGATTACACAGCCTATCCTTACCCGAATTTCCTTGACGAATGACTGTGTGTTTTATATGTTGCACGTTGCTAAAAATTTTGATATTCTTACACCTCAGACGTACAAACATACGTCTTTCGTTACATCGCGGCCATCTCGACGAGGGTATGGTTTGTACGCGGTGTCAGCAACAGATAAACCGGGGAGAAAGTCTGGTGGGAACGGTGTTAATGGGGGTTACGGGGGTTGGACCTTTGGACACTCGAAGAACCTTATCCAGGGAAGTAAAAGTGATAAGATAACCAAAATGCCATCGAGGACCTTCTAATGTGCCTAGGAACCAAGTCCTAAATATGCGCACAAACGCAAAAAACTGTAGTCAGTGAGTTCCCGGCAGCTGAATAAACCATCGTTGCATAACTAACTTGAGATCAGGTTCCTAGTTGATGCGTGAAAAATGGGGGTTAGCCACAGGCGTTAATCGAAATTGCAAATAATGAAGATCGTAGCCAATGCCAGGAAACTCCTTGACTGACAGGAATTTAGGGAAATGCAAAACAAGGAACAGGAAGGAAGTCAAGCAAGGTACGTTGAATGACGATAGGGAAGAATAAAAGGAAAAGACATGTTTAGTAATATAAAGAGGCATGCTTGCATGCAGATGAATGGTGGTATTATTGGAAATGAGTCATGTTATGTAACGGAGATTTCGGTGCTAAAGCAAATGCGCAAGTTAATTGAGGAAGCACAGCCCATGTGGATGTAAACATCATAAGCTGTAAGCAATTAGTAGTTTGGATAGTAGGAAATGGATAAAAACCGTAAACGGATTCATTTTTTGAACCCAGACCGTCGACTGAATGAACAATAAAACTTAGGCGACCTCAATGGGATAAATCGAGATAGAGTGATGAAATAATACAAGTTCTGAGTTCTAATAAGTTGACGCAGTATTGGCAAGACTGTTGCAGAAAAGTTTCAAGTGTAAATTTCGGTTGAGAATGCGGCAGCTGTCCCCTAGGTAGCACGCAGACGGTTTCGTCCTCAGATGCAACCGATGCGCAATACAAAGGCACAGCGAACGGATTCAGTATTTGAAGGCAGCCATCTCACAATCAAAAAGATTTTAGAAATCGAAGGAGTCAAAGTGAAACAATGTCTAAGGGAAGTTGGAGTTTGCCATGCGACCGCAGTGGGGGGTACGCATATGCCGAAATATGTGTTCCGCGACCTCCTTAGTCAAATCAGGCTAGTCGGTGGCCCTCCGGCCGGTAATGACGAAGTAGGTGGCGAGGGGACTTGGGTTTCTGGCGGACAAATGGAGAGCTACTAACAACCGTCATCTGAGTAATATGAGCTTTACACCATAAATCATAGCAAGAATTTCGTGGATGGAACTGAAGGTGGTGTAAAACGTAGGCGACCTCAGTGGGATATACCGACGGAAAGTAGTGAGATAATAAAAGTACTGAGTTCTTATAAGCTCACGCCGTAATGTTGAGGCCAAGGACGGCTACAGACAATTTTGAAGTGTTAATTTCGGTTGAAAATTCGACAGCGGATCCCCAGGTAGCACGCAGACGGTTTCGTCTTTAGATGTAATCGTAACCAAGGAGAAGAAGTGCAAATTGATGAGTCGCCAAAATAACAATGCCGATTGGCAGTTTCAGTTTATTTGAGGGAAACATAGGCGTTGAACCTTTGAACTCCCCATTTGTTACAAGGAAGCGAATTGTATCAAAAATTTGAAAATGGGAACACCAAACAGCTACTTTTTTTCAGATTGGCAAATTTTTCGAAATCAGACAGATAAACGAATTGTTCCATGTGTTAAAAATTTTGAACGTAACTAAATGTGCTGTGCAATAGTCTGTCTATGGTGCTATCTCAGTTTCTGAGGGTGACGAAATGAATGCTAACGCTCACATTCAACGGATCTGGGACAATAATAAAAAACACACTTTACTGAAATACAGACGGTAATATAATAACATCAATAAAATCTTCGAACGCAACGCTCAGACGATGTCGGTCAGGTGACATTCCGACGTTTAGTGGTTCACTGGTCCAACTTTCGCTTAAAAGCCTCGACGGATGTGGGCAAGAAGACCTCTGCAGACAGAGCATTCCAAGCATCGATCCCTCTGTTTGAAAAGACCTTCCGAATGTCCAGCCTGGCGCCAATCACACGTTGTTTAAATGGATGACCTCGGAGGTTCGTTGTGGTTGCTAACTCAAAGAAATCAGCAGGTAAGAGGCAGCAGTCCTGACTGCGCATTATACGGAATGTTTGTGTACGGTCGCCCCTTAGCTGTCTGTAACTCAGTGGAAAACGGCCGATATTGGACAGCCGTCTTTCGTAAGGAAATGAACCCCGATGCCGAGGTCTTTAGGGGCCAGGCTTTCCACGCATGGATACAGCACTCTAAGGTCGTACACATGTCCGAAAGATTTTTACGAAGCAGTCCTCATAGACGGTGGAGAAAGCTAACTTAACAAGGCAAAAGACTGATATCGCAAACTTATTTACCTTGGAGCAGTGGAGCAGTTTATCTGAGGGAAATGTAACTGTTGTATCTTTAAACTACCTATCTGTTATCAGTAGTTTTACATAGGTCAAAGGCTGAATATTAGTATACGACGGGGCAGCTTCAATCGAATGAGGCAAATTCACTGAACTACGGCTGTGACGCTGTTGTTCAGATAACTTCCAGCGGAATCCGAAATATATTCAAGCAGGATCTTGTTTCAGCTTGTTAACAACCACGAAAAACTGACGTATGCAGGGTAGTACATGTGGTCCACATCTACTAAGTAAAAAATACACATTAACAGAAGGCAAATTTATACGGAAATTTATTGCAATGAAGTCACTTCAGGTCCTTTCATTTCACGGATAATCCCCACGCCCTTGATCTTCCTACACATATTAGGAAAAAAATAACATCAATTTATGCATCAATATTTCTGTCCTCAGTATTCGTGATCTAAGCACAACATTGGCCAGACCACGGACTGCTACAGAAAAAGACACTTCTGGATGCTCGGAATATGTGATTCAAAACAGAAGAAAGGAGTCGTCGAGCAAGTCAACAACAAAACTTGGCAAGCCCTCATGCCGATAATAACCAAGTGCATAACGAAAGGGAATGTGATTGCGACTGACGAGTAAAGGGACAGCTCACGCCTGTCATCTGAGGGATATGTGCATTACGCCGTAAAGCATAGTATGAATTTTATTGATGATACTATATCGTCTATGGTTTGGGCTAAACACCGCCGAACTAAAACGACCGTGGGAAACCTTGCTATTTCACGTCGCGGAAGTGTTCCCCGTGCAGGAATCGAATGGAAGTGGTATGCGGCAGCCGCTTTTCTCGGGTGCAAGACCTTTAATGTCATTTCAAAATACTCTGACTCCTACTTGTTTCTAAGGTGGAGTTGGACAACTATGTGGGTTATGGTAGAGGAGCATCCCCATGTGGGTGGTGGAATGGGGATCATAGGTCGCCGCAGGAATGGCGTTGATTGCGTACAGAACTTTCGAATCACATCTAACACGTCTGGGGGTGAGGATCAGAATAATGGGTCCATACAGACAGGCCTACAACGTCTTGTTCTCGGGGCGGCCGATGGCAAATTGAATAGCACAAACCGGTGAAGCAGGTAGAGTACGCCGGAGCTAAAGCATGACAGGCATCCCAGTAAGAACGTAATCGAACAACACCTACTTAAATGAGGGCAGTAGCGAGTCTTTTAAATTGTTTGATCTATCCAGAGTACAAATCATACCCCTACAGCAATTTTCATAAACTTGGCTCAGTTAAAGGCTCTACTCTGAGATTATGAATGCACAAGCGAGTGGTCATATCAATACTAATATTTTGCCGAGACTGTTTCTGTCTTCCTCGTTCCATTTTTAAATAGCGCATAAGCAGAAGTTGGAACGCAGGTAAATTGATGTTTTATATGTCCAAACCTATAAATGACCATTCGTTTATAGCCATGTCCGTGGCTAATGGCTAATGGCTAAACAATCACGACCAATTTCAGCGAAGGATTACCTGTGTCTGATAATACTCCATTTTACAACCCGACACCGCAAGGCGCCGCTCATCCTGCTTCCAAACACTGATAAAACCCAATTTCTTTAAAAGTAACACTCGTGTCAACAAACTGACTCCCCGGTAGGCATCGGGCAAAAAATCAATTAGCAACGCGTGTTATGAGGATAGACTGCTGCCCCTAGCCTTCGGTAGAGCACGACACTTTGACCTGCCTGAGATCTGCAGACGATTTCAATTCATTCTCACCTACACCGACTGTTACTTACTTCAATGTAGAGACTACTTTATGCAGCTTGCAGCACTTACACACCTTCTTCGAAAAGACTACTTTGGCCTTGCTGTGTCACGCCGTTACTCACCATATAACGCATGATCTACGGCTTGCTGACTGCCTGTTGGCTAACACTGTCTCGGTTACAACACATACAGTAGGCGACCTAGCTCGTGATGCTTGGTAACAGAATCCGATATGAGAATTTTCCACACGCCTTAAACGCACCACATCCGGCCCGCTTATTTGGTCCCTTAAAGAAAATATACCAAGTCCTTACCCTGACATTGGAGGTCTAAGTATAACCCTATTTCTAATGCTAAACACAAACCCTTGCCCCTACTCATAACTACAAACCCTAAACAGTGCCATAAACAAAACCTCCACCTTAAGCCTAGGGCCTAAAATTCAGAACTAATCCCCTTTCTCTAGCCTGTAAATCCAATTTGCAGTCCTAATCTTGGTCTTTAACCCTTTCCTCAAACCCTAACTCGTTCATTGAAGACAGTCGTAAACTGCATCACGTCTACCCAAATCAATAAACGTATAAATGTTGCAAATTCTGACAACCTACTGAAATGATAATTAGTAGGAAATCTTTGATTGTTTCACCAGGGAGGACAGCGTTTCCGGCTCGGTTACGCTACCGGGGCCCGAAGGACTGAGGGAAAAGCGCTTGTAACACGGAAAAGGTGGTCCTAGGAGTTTTATTAATTGTGCGCATGAAAATGGGCATTGTGGTGGAAAAGCGTATAAAAATAAAGACAACTGGCTAAATGCAGGTTAAAATGGCAATGTAACTCTGGTCCTAACCCTAAACGTCACCCCGAACCTAACCCGAACTGTAACCCTAACCGTAACCCACACACTTAAATGAAACTCGTACTCTAACCGAAACACTAAACTAGATCTCACTCCCTAACCCGAACCCTATACCGGAGCTCATTTCCTCACCCGAACACTAAAATTTAACGTAATCTTACCACAAGCCCTAACCTCAAATTGACTCCGAGCCTAACAAAACAGGGGCTCGACTGCACATCAGAATAGTCGATAGAGGTACGCTAATGCTGAGAAGTATAAATCGCAACTGCCTCCTGAAACCAATATAAGTATAAAGGTAATGTGACGACGACAACACGGACAGCGCAATAAAGCTTTCCCAAGGCATATCCAGTCATTTTCTCGGAAGGGACAAGCAGTGCTGTCCCTAATTCAGGCCGTTTAGTCATTACAGTCGGCTGGCCAACTCCACTATGGGTTACGGCTTTGTCTAGGGGAGAGCGACCCGAGTTAGCTTAGGCCGCACACGGGATAAGATATCACCCTCTCGGTAGGGCGCTTTGAAATGGAAAGGGGGGAATGGAGAGGGCAGGGTGGGAGGGGAGTGAGTAACAGAATTCCGCACAAGGGGTTTGGGTGGTGTATATCTCACACGCGTGAGAGTGCCGAACGTCACGTGAAGAAGGAGCCGTTTCAGCCTATCTCTCAGCCTACCAGTCTGTCAATTTACACAAACACAACTGGGCATAAAAATATTCACTTTTCTAATTATTCGATGGAAAATTATGTCTTCTTCCAATTTTATGCTCAAAAGAAGGGTATAAATTGGTTTTAAAAAACATTTTTTATTCCCGAATAAATATCAACCAGTATTCAACACAATGGGGTTCGGATGGTGTATATCTCACACGCGTTAGACTGCCGCAGATCCCGTTAAGAAAGACACGTTTCAGCCTGACTCTCAGCCTACCAGTCTGTCACTCCACACAAACACAACTTAGCACAATGTGTTGACTGAGTTGGGGCGTCGTTCGGCGACCTTCCAATGCACGGCGCTTGACGTGCCGGGATAATCGCACATTCGAATCATACATGCATGCTGTTTGGAGACGAAGCCAAGACGCACACTTTTCACTTGCATTGGAGGTGGCAATTGAATGTCTGCAGTGGATGATGGTGCTGTGTGCTGCAGGTGTGGAAAGATATGATGGTGTGGTTAAGCCGGCGGTTGTCTACCGCAGATTTTCCCGAATGCGCAGGTGACCTAACAGGCACATGTGATGGGTGAGTTTGCGGGTAGAGTGTTGGCAGTTGAGACTGGTGCGGCAGGTGCCCCAGGCACTGGCTCGCCAGTCTCTCTACGAGGGATTTGCAAGTAACCCACCAGGCTGACGTATGAGGTGAATGTACGCGGACAATTTGTGTGCAGGAAAAGACGACGGTGCCAGTGTCGGGCTTCGGTAATGTTGGCAGTGATAGAGCACTGGGCTATGCTTTGTGGATTGGCTAGGCATGCCGGGTGTGCAGGTAGTGCTAGGTGCTTTGGGACAGCGGTGGATTCCGCTATCGTGGATACGCGTGTGACCTAGAAGGCCCATGCGGTGAGCAAATGTGCCGGGGGCAGTGAGGGCAGTGGAGGCGAATGCGGAGAATGTATGTGGGTGCTTCGGAACCTGTTTCGCCAGAAAATGTGCGATGAATTAACGTGTGACCGACCGAGCCGATGTGTGAGGTGAAGGCGCGGTCGCAATGAGGACAGGCATGGACCGAGTTCACATCACTGGGGTTGTTGGTTGGAGGGGGGGGGAGGGGGGGGGGTTGATGTTGGCTGGTGTGTTAGGATTGTGTGCAGTGGATGTGGATACAGGAGCTGCCGCAGCGGACGTTGAGGCGATGTGGGTGGGGGCATGAGAGGCGATACAGGTGTGGACGTTAGGACAGCAGCTGGTGTCGTTCGGGTGCTGGAGTTGACAGTGAAGTTGCTCTCTAAGGCCGACTGGTGACCAGAACGTCCGCAGTCATCGTGGGCGGGTTGGGGGTGATTGAGCGTCGGCGTGATATGAAGCGGACATTTGAGACCTGCGAGCTTCGCGTTTGACTTTGGCGGCGGTGATGCGGTCGGCTTCGCAGACCGATGCGCCTGTCTTCACTGAACTCCTCAAGGCTCGTCGGTCACGGACGAGATCTTCTCCTTTGACCAGGTTAGTTTGCAGACGCTTCAGGGAAGTCTTTAAGTTATCCTTGCACCGCTTATCTTGACCTCCTTGTCGGCGAGAACCCGTGGCGACGTCTCCATAGAAAATCCGTTTGGGAGGCGGCTCTAACGCCATTTCCGCTGTCTCAGTACGACATAGATGCTGAGGATCACGGTCCACTACAGCATGTCTTTGTTTAGGATGTGGTTCTGCCACCTGAGTTTCAGTATCCGTCAAAGACAGCGGAGGTGGAGTTGATTGAGCCTTCGCGGCTGCTTCTTGTACAGCATCTCGGTCTCAGCGTCTCAGCAACGTCGGAAGAATGACTGCTTTGTACATCTTCAGGTTAATGCTTATCTAGAGAGCATGTCGATTCTAGACTGTGTTTGCAGACGGTCGAAGGCGACGACGAGCCACTTCATTGTCGATCATGGTGTTGAGAGCGGGGGTGCAATTGGGCTCTTTTCACGCTGATTTGGGATGAATTATGACCATGTCTTTGGTTACGGTTGATGCATAACAACCGTTTCTCCCTGTTTATGACCAGACGAAAGTTATCGCACCCGAGGCTCGAACTCGCGACATGTTAGTTAGAAGTCCACGCCTCTGACCACTGGGCCACGAGACCGTTGCCTTGTTGGTTTCGATCGGGAATATACCATGGTAGAGGACGCTCGCCGATCGTTCTCACGATCCTCGGGCGTTCCAAAATTCGGGGTTGCGTATGACTACGGTTAATAAGCCAGAAATGGCTATTCCAGTCTCCCTTCTCTTTGTCGGTAATAACAGACTGCTTTGTTGTCGTCGGTGGGGCGGTTGACGTAGGTTTTGTGCAGTCGATTTCGCTCAGCAAGAAGATTCCTAAAAGGAAGCGTCATTTTCATCGAACCAGTCCTGATGTTGCCGACGAGCGCGAACGTAGACAGCCAGGGCCGTCGACTGGACTGTGTCCCGCACTTGAAACTGGCGGTTCTCTACGGATACGTTCTCTTCGGCAGCGGCGGTGGCGGCGGTGGCGGCGGCTGAAGTGGAGATGCTGAGCAGGCAAAGACAACAAAGCAGTATTCAGCTTACCTTGAGGTTTCCTGCTAGGCTGTAGAAAAATCCTCATACTGGCTAGACGATGGTCGGTCCACCCGTCTGCACCCGCGGTCACCCTAATCACCATCATGTCTGGCTGTTCTAGCCTCCAGACGAGGACACAGTCCGAGCCAGTAGCACCTTTCACAAAGCAAACGAGCATTTCAGTCGTCCAAATTGAGCGGAATCGCCCTAGCAGTCTGTGGGGTGTGGCAGCGGGAGGAGAAGAAGAAGAAGAAGGAAGGAAGGAAGGAAGGAAGGTAGAGTACGCGACCTACTACGACCGTCACGTGGGCCCAGTACTTGACATCATTATATCCCACCACCACCAGTAACCGGCAACAGTGCATGATAAATAATACTTAAATACACGGAAATTGCAAGTTTTTCATCATTGTTACTACTGAGGCACAATCGCTGCGCTTACCAGTACGAGAAGGAAAAATCCTCCTCAAATATCTTAATGATCTATAATCCCACATATCCGCATTTGGTCAGATTAATAGCCCCAGCCATTGGATGTCAGTGCATGTTTCACGACTTAGTTTTTATAATGACTATAACATTGTAAACCACGGATATCTTTGGACACGGCAGTCGAAGTATCATGATGATGATGATGATGACGACTCAATCACTGGCGTTTATTCCGTGCATACTTGTATGAAGGTTTGCATTATTAGTGATTCAACTTCAGTTTATTTGAGGGAAACATAGGTGTTGAACATATGAACTGCCTATTTGTTACAAGGAAGCGAATTATATAAAAAAAGTTGAAAGTGGAAACATCAAACAGCTACAGCAGCTTTTTCAGATTGGAAAAGGTTTCGAAACTTGGCAGATAAACAAACTGTTCCCAGTTTTAAAGACAATAACGTTACTAAGTAGTCTCTGTCTGTCTCTGTTTCTGAGGGCGTCGAATTGAATGCCAACACACATTAAGCGGACCTGGGCAACATTAAACAAAAAACGTTATTGAAATACAGGCAGTAATATAATAACATTAATAATCATAGCTTTCTAGTCACATAATACTAGAAGCGGTCTTACATGAGCACCAAATACACCTATCGACATCTGATAGGGAGTATTCGATCTACTGCCAATTTATGACGACGAAACTGCTGTTAGCACAGCGAACCCAAACCGTGTGTTAAAATCTTCGAAAAGAAATTTAGGTTAGATACTGATCGCACTTCTACCTCAGTAGTCTGATGGTGGAACTTGATTGGGGTCCAACAAGGAAAACCTATTTAGTAGTGAGTTTCAATATCCAGACGTCATTGTTTGGGCGACACTGCGGGAATCGGACTATCAGCGACACATAACAGAACGCATTTGTCTGGACCTACGTCATCGTTGGGTATTCTGGCAAGCAACAACAATCCGCAATCCTCGTTGGCGCGCCTATTGTGTGTCAGATAGTCCATTGTTAAGGAGGAATCTCGACCACGGCCACAGATACTGGAATAGCTATTTCCGCCTTTATGTAGTCTCCGACTAATCACATTAAGCAGTACCCTACCTGCAGTGGTTAATTAAGTCAGCAGTTATATGAAACAGCTGCGTGCTTCCTAGACTTCCTGTGATATTTCTAGAACGCTCTCATTGGGTCTTGTCCTCTCCATGCCGGAATTTCGCCCACTCGGGCATCCGGATTAATCCAGCCACTCATCTGAACCAGATGACTTTTCAGACAACAATCTGTCAAATCACTTATGCGTCACCAAACCGACCAGTCATTTAGATCGTGATTCATTCGAATGGTAATCTGCTCATAAATGTCGCCTAATTCTTAGCAAGTTGCTATGAGTATGTTTTCAACATATACACAATTTCCAATTGGCTATTCATATTACCCACCTACTTAAGACAAAGCATTAACTAGAGAAACGATGGCTCAAATATTTTTTGCTTTTCTGGCCGCATAAGAAACGCTCTTGCCTCAAACTTCCATAGGAAACTTATCATACAAATTAGCGTCATTGAATCTGATATCGGGAAGGGGAAAATATTCCTGTTGACGAACATTTCGCGAGTGACCTTGTGGGATTTACATGCGTGCACAGTCGTACTGGGCTTCTAGCACTTTTACTCATGACATAACTGCCTACGACAAGACTCAATCATTAACCTAGGAAAGACCCTGCATGCGATGGGCCGCACGCCTTCGCGGAAATCGATGAATTCAAAATTCGATCAATAATTCTCTCCAGCCTGGCCAAGCCCGACCCATTATTCGCAAGCTATGAACGCGCTTCGTCGCTTCTTGCATCGTCTACGCCGACCATTTTACCGTAGACATTTACGCAGACCTGTACAGCATCGGACACTAGGTGAGTTCAACTTCATTTGGACATTACCTTCTTATTATAAAAGGCAATGATCAAACACTCCACAGGTTTGATGATAATCTAACAAATGATTTGTCCTTTGTTATAACATAATTCTCACCTGGTCTGGCTAACAGTGTATCGGCAACATGCTGAAGAAGTTTGCAAGTGTTAGAAAGAGTTGTTGAGTCAAACAATTTCAGTGAATTTGAATAAGCAATATCTCAGGTATGGATATAGGAGATATGGATGAGTATATTAAATTGGATAAGCCTTTGGTGAGAGGATAAGACATGTCTAGGTTAGGGATGGTCACATTGGAGTAATGTGCACGGATGTATCTTCATAGCAGGCCGCCTTGACTTGTTGCTTAAGGTCTGTAGATCGGACAGGCGGTTGCGTGGTGACTGGTCGTTTCGAGCATACATACCGTCATCAGCGAGGAATGGATATTCCGACGTTACAGTCTTGATTAACAAAGTCTTGTTGGATCGAATTGAACTTAATCATGCACGGCTTGGATGTATTCCCAGTAGGATTTACTAGGAGAGCTTATCTCAACAAAGCTAGGTGCTGCGTAATTATAACTAACAACGGTGCATTTCAAAATGTAATTCCTACTAAATTCCATTTTCTTATCAACAGAAACCATGCCATCCAATTTGGACAGATGTTAGGCACTACTTTTAGAAAAGAGAAGTTTCATAAAGGCAAAACCCGATGACCTCTTCAATAGTAGTATCATGCTAACAGCTAACAATGCTGCTGATTAATCGTCATCTTGGGATTTACCGTCTACGCTGGCTAGACCCTAATATCTGCAGGTTGTAGGGTCGAAGCAGACCCGTCCGTTGAACACGTCTGATGCCAAGTACAATTTAAATGTGGGGTCAGATCTCATTGAATGAACCGTAACTTGATGTCTGGTGTCCTTTCTCTGCACCACTGTCGCGTGTTCGGCCATTCGTTCACGTTTGGAGCAGTCATCCAGGTTTTCCAACATAGTATCTTTGTCCTCAAATGCAGGCATTTCGCAGACTGATTTGGCCGCCTCCTCGAAGATGCAGAGATAATATTCTAAGCATTATCGATAATCCTCCTTGATCCATTTCCCTTTTATTCACTTCTCCTCTCGTCATTCCTGCAACTAATCTTAATTTATCTGACATGCTCGACTGATAACCAGTAAAGTATCAGTCAGCATCTGTGAATGTGTAATTTCGCTTGAGGTCTATAGATCGCCGAACTGCAGAAGGATACTAACGAATCAGATTTCGATCTAATTCCTTTCCCTTATTGATTCCCTTCACGCCTGCACCATCTAGTATTGTTCATGGGAAGACAATGGCAGGGAGGATCTGTGGATCATCACATGTATATGGTCTATTTATTGATTCCACACAAGCAAACGAGACCGGAGGCAAGCGAACGCTGGAGGTTTTAACTCACTGCTGTCTCTGTTATTCGGGGTAGGTCGAAGATTTCGCCTGGATTGCAGGCGATCTGCACTGGCATGAACAAAACCGCAACAATGTGTATGTGGCTATGCGAGAGATCTGACTTCGTTGGTTCGGCCACCTACTCCATTGCCTGTCTCATGGGTATGACGATGATGTCTACATGGATATGGTGTGCAGGCGGGTTGGGTAGGGGATTGCCAGCTCAAATCCCGACCGAGCGCTTCGTCAAGTCGTTTACCTTCGATGTTCGGTCCTCATACACTCATCGCCTGATTTTCGATCCTGGAGAGGTACTTTCGGGAAGGCCATTAAATCCAGCAGATGAGGTATGATCAAAACATTATTACCCCCTACTACGGAACGGACCAGTTGAGGCGCCTATGCCTCCCGTAAACCCACACAGTACTAAAGAGAGAACAGGAGAGGAATCAATATTTCTGCGGCTTGAGAAGAAACATCCGTGGACTTTACAATTTATTTCTTTCGGAAAAGTCCTGAAAGATTAATTGCACAGCATTGTATTTCAATCGATATTTCGCATTTACTCACCAGAGCCACTCTTTTTTCCAGGTCCATTTTACTGTAGTTACCCTGTGTCAGTAGGCGATGACGGTATTTTGGAAACAGTTCAACCTATCGTAGCGGACAAACCGTCGGACAGCGACTTATTCCTATTTATCCAGAAGCCAAGTGAGTAACAGAATTATTTTACAATGATCCCTTATATTCTCAAACTTGATTAAAAGCACATTAATGTTCTTCGCTTCTTTTGCAGATTCATTCTACCGTAGTTTTGCCACAGCCGTAGGACAATATCCAGTTTTTGAGACAGCCCAATTTATGGATATTGAGAGACAGTTTACCTGTGAAGTTCACACGACCGGTAAGTACCATCATTCCTATTGCCATCAAGTATGTTTACTGTGTGCAGCTTTTTTTACAACAGACTCTGACTTCCATCAAAATAGCCTTAATTGTCTAAATGGAGTCCCCTTCTCGGCAGTCAAGCAGATTATGAAAGGTTGGATGCTCTCTATCAGACTTCTGGCTTCTCGTCGAATGTCAAACATTCTGAGGAAGACATCAACCACTGCGGGATATTTCGGGTGCATACGTAGGGATGCATGGAACGGCGTGTGATAGGCGCGGGCCGCACCAATTGGAATCCGAGTCACCTCCCATTCCTTGCTGGTTAAATAAGGTCCTGGTCATTGACAGCTGCGAACCTGAGGATGTGGTGGCATGATTTTTTGCGGGTTTCTGTCGTGCCAGTCACCTACGGCCTCTTCTGCCTCCAGTATTTTTGGCCTTGGTTTGACACAGAGACTAGATAGGGGGGGGAGGGGGGTAGAGAAAGCGTGCGGAAGATGCTAAGTTGGAGGTTGTTGTGATGATTGCTCTAACATCTGACCCACCGAAACTGGCCTTGGGAAAAGTGTTCACCCGTGAACTTCTCGCGTGGCCAATTTCTCCGCCCAGACAAAATCTCAGCATTGAGTATTGAGGGGGAATGTCGATGCACTTATTAATGGACTGGGGGCCAGTGAACCAGTGGAGACGGCAGACAGAGGAATACTTCCTTCTTATCGGACCTGGCCACGTCTGCTTTTGGCAGTCGCCCTCAATTCATCGTGTGAAAAGTCAATTCATCACAGAACATTTCGTAAGAAAGGCGAGATCATTCTTCAGGGTATTTGGTGAGTGGTATTCTCATTTGTCGGTTGCCTGGCAACCGAGTAGATCTCGCTTCTGCTAAGGAGAGACTAAACTGCAGACATGTGCACACCGTTTGGTTCACGTCTTCTTATATAATGCACATCAAACAATTGTCTCGACAGATGTTACGCGTAGTAGGATGTCTGGAAATTGAATTCACACTTACCTCTACCTCCAAAGCAGAATTCAACGCTGGGTGGGTTTAATTCACTTTCATCAAGGTCATACCTGAATCAAGCTTCTCAGAAGCTCTTACGAAAATGTCATTGATGTGTCGGATATTACAGTCAGATTGTCTTACAATTCAATAAATCTGGTTATTTGAAAGTTTCCCCATAAAGACTTTAAATATGTGACCCCATCGGTATGCTGTCGATCCGGCAGAAAACTGATCACCGAACCTAACTTGAACAACACAATCAGCCGTTGCCATCGTAGTGTTTGAGGGACCCATTTCATAATGACCTCATTGGAAGCCCAGTCAATGGCTCTTTCTTTTTCAGATTCTTTTGTCCGTTATTGTCACCAAACCGTAGGACAAGAAGTCCTTTTTGAGGCCGTCCGGCCAATGGAAGCTGAAAGGTCTGTTAACTCCGAGTGTCATATAGCAGGTGAGCAATGTAATTCCTCTTGACATTAAACCAACTTTGTAAGCGAACCGTAGAGACCTCCAATGTGGGTAATCGGTCAGTTTTGGGGAAGAATATGAATGCGGGGATGGCGATTTTTGAGCTATTAGCAGTCACAATCTAGCGATACACCGACCGCAAGTCCAGACTTGATCTCAAGCCAGTGGATCATTGAGCAAGGCTCTGATCGCTGTACTAACGTACTCGCGTCTTATCGGTTGAAAGCGGGGCGTTTGGCCGCGCGAGAGTGATGTACACTGTCTGTTCGGAGTTCAAAACGGAAGATAACATTCACGCTTGGCCTCTGAGCTAAGGGTCTACAGACCACGGGCCACCAGCGTGAGTTTGAAAAAAATACCCTTGTCGTTGTCACGGGACAGGTGGACGGAAAAGCAGCGATAGGGCGTCATTGTAGCCTCCTGTGTTCTTGCTTTTCAGATAACAGACGTTCTGCCATTCATCTTCTAATAGGCAATTCGAAAAAGCCATTTTATCACAGGAACTTCTGCATAGAAGATTGTACATCCTCCAGGGTATTCACTGAACACTGAACTTGCATTACTGACCAGTGAACTAAACTTTGTTTCTGCCTTTAAGGGGCAAACCGATGGAAACATGTTCACTAGTCTATTCTCATTATTACCTGAGAGAATCTCGTTTTCTAAGTGTATCAGCAGATTTCAAAAATGGTGAGAGATTTGTCCCCAAAAACAAACTAAAACGACAGGGTTTAAATAGGCATTTCATTCAATTCTTTCTTCTTCTAGAGGAAACCAGTTACTTGCATTGCCCACACTACGTAACAACGGAGAGTTATGCGGTGATGACGCAGAGGACGCCGCAAGATGGACAGTATGAATTTTTCGGATCAGCGATTAATAAAGATAACCAGACAGCCAGAGTGGCACAGCTCTGCAGCTGCCACGGTACCTTTTATTGATTTCCCCTTTCATGCATGCGCAGACTCCAAAATATGCGTTTATCCTGTGGCTGCCACAAAGCTCAGAATGAAACGCATATTGAAAGCACGCCTGGGAACCTTTCAGTCTCCGCCACTGAGGCTCTACTTCCGGTAATTACAATTCTGACGAATGTTTCAACTTTGATTATTTTTTCAGTTCTCTGGAATCTGAACAAGCAGAGGAACTGGAGACCTCAATGGTCTCCTCAATCGGCTCGACCAGTGTAAACACATCAGAGACAACACTTCCTGTGCCAGTTACTGCTGACACCTGGTCGACATCGTCTCTGGCAGATCCATTCCCAACTGAAGCATTCTCTGGAGGTAACGCATAAAATGCCATTTTAGTTGCTGAAAGGGCACACCAATATGTGGAAACATGTAAAACAGTCCATTTGAAGGTGTTCAGTAGAAATAAACAAAGTCATTATGCTTGAATTTAAATTAGAAATGAAGTACAGTACGATGTCAAGTGTCAATAAATCTCGTTGATGGATGACAAAACTTACGGAATGACGTATCTGGTCCCAACTGCCGCCCCAGGGCCTACTGTCTGCATTGAGCAGAAAACGAATTTATAATAAGGAATCTTGGAGGGGATATTAATTGTCTGAGTGTCAAGACCAAGAGATTAGACGCAGTTGAGTGTCTCTATCACAACTGCTTAACACTCTGTTTACTGCCAAACCTGGTCATGTCACCGGCATGGCAGATTGCGTTGACTGGCTTCTACCGTCCTGAAGATGTTGCACACATTAGCTTGATCAATATCCCAGTTTACAAACGTTTCATAGTTGTTGAAGTTAATCTATTCGAGTTCTGACAAGAAGATTGGTGTTCGGAATATGCCCATGTGGCCACACGTTTGCCTACTTTGTACATCCGCAGACAGTTGTTCATTCTTCAGCGATTTTCATTTAGTTTTAACGTAAAGGATGTTTCATTTGCATGAAAAATGGAGGGCAGTGGTGAGAATTTTGACGATTTCCCCTGAGCAAGAAATTATTTTCTGCACTGACAAGTGCGCATAGACGGGCGTCCAAAAGTCTTTTATCTGTATTACATATCCTCACTTTCTAATCACCCATAATATCGTCATCCCTAACGGGACCTGTAAGGCATAAAGTATCAAAGCCAGAACAGGGAGGCGATGAGAACGATGAAACGTTACATGCGGTTTCGCAATTTTCCAACGACATGAGAGCCGAATCGAATTCACAGAGTGGAAGGTGGGCATTGCTCCACGAGGAAGTATTTGATGACGATCTTTTGCAAATTGGTAAGTTGGCCCTTGCCCATGCGTTTTGGGTGTCATTTAACACCTGAAAACCGAGGGCCTTGTGCAAGTAAGTCATTATCTGCATTGACAAGTACGTACTCTTCCAACTTCCACCTTATTTTGATAAATATATGCTACTGACATTCCTTTAGTACGTCGTTTAAAGTACAGTTTTATCGGGTGTTGAAGAGTCGCGGAAGTTCGTATCTGAATCAGTAGCATAGGAGAAAGCATCAGGATAAATTTTGCGGTCACAAAAGTACACTTCCTTCTAATAACTACCATTTTACTGACAGATTACGCAGAATGCGTGGTATAGATCAACGTCCAAAACGCTTTATTTCTAAATCACATATTCTGCGCTATCTAGACACCTATAATATCTCCTACACGGACGGAGCTGGAACGTTTAACGTATCAAAGCCCGAACAAGAAGGTGATGCTAACGACGATACGTTGGATGCGGTATCACAAATGTGCAACGACGTGGATACCGAACATCATTCAGAGAGTGAAAGGTGGACACGGCTCAACGAGGATGTATTCGATGATGAATTTTTGGAAATGGGTGAGTTGGCCTTTGCCTATGCGTTCTGAATGTCATTTAACACCTGCAAATCAAAGGCCTGTTGCACTTTTACCAGTGTATAGAATTTTGATAGGTAATTTTTCCGTATTTTTACTCGAAATTGACACGTCGACTGAGGAGCATTAGGACCTGCGGAATATGTTCTGATTAGGAGAAGTTGGAATGTGTGTGGTTGGAGAGGCACTAGGAACAGCGCATTCACTCGAATTGAGTACACATAAGATTAGACTCAGGTGGTCTAAAACAGTCTGCGCAAGCCCAGGCGTGGGAAGTTGTGCAGATCGTCATGCCAGCGGATATCTCTGAATTGTTGGGGGCGTGATATATTTATGGTGTCTTATAAAGCTCCCTAACTGGTCAAATGATATTGAAGATCGAGCACGTGGATCAGGAAAGACCGTTAGATTAATCGAAGGTGGGTGTTTGGAACGGTCGGCGCCAAAACGGGACCTTTGGCGATGGTGGGTGAGACATGGGAAAAGGAGTCCCTCCCGTAATGCAGATGTCATTGATATGGGTTCTTGTAAGATTACTTATTTCCGTGTTCGAATCCTAAAATCAGCACTTGCTCTCAGCTCTAACATTGATCCTTGTCCTACTCTCTCTGCGATTTGTCCCAAGAACACCCGTACTACCGTGGAGGGTGCCTAGTACCGCGATCTACCTAGTAGTGTATTCTTTCTGTTCGGCATTTGTCATCTGTAGTGCTCTCGATCACAGAGGTATGGAGTACGCGGTCGTGAAGTAGACTGCTTTTATTCCTTACTGCCAATGAGAAAACGTGGTGGAGGCTCTCACAGGCAGCTAGAAATGATAAGGAGTTCCAACTGTGTACTTCTACTTCACCTACTTCCATTTACCTCTGACACTGCAGAACTCTCTTGCATTGCCGGCGCCAGGAACTGATCCTTAAAGGGCCCAAATGAAGCTGGTTTTCTGGCGTTGTTAAAAATAGATTACGTCGTCTCCTATTCCTCTCTAATGCCGTTGTCAACAAAAGTGCTGCACACTTCAGACCAATATCCCGGTCTCTGGGAGGCTGATGTGCAGTTTAGTGAGTCCTGCGTGTGAATAACGTGGAGCTTGGTTGGATTCTCAGCCCTACTTCACACTCCGTCATCACCTTATGCATTCAACAAAGTTTATGCTCTTGTAGATGGCTCAAGATACATTCAACTGAAGTCGCTTGAGTTTAAACGCTAAAATTCGCCTTGAGAGCCTAAACCACGGAGTGACCTTTAAAGCTAGGCGTTCCTATTCTGGTCGAACTTTGAAACCTGCGAACACGTCCACGGGTGGAGATGTGACGTTCGGGTAGGCATGCATGGCAACAGCTCAGCGCTAAATTGGAGATACGGTGGTGGGCGAGCTGGTGTGTTACCTTGCTTAGTGTCTCCTTATTGCCAGCCAGGAATGTGCGCCGACAGTTGCAATACGTGAGATGGATTTTACGATGGCAGTGCGCTTCCCATCTTCTGCAATTGGCCTGCCTGTTGAGTCCGCATTTATGACGCTTCCCCAACAGTCATCGAAAGACAATACCTCATCACGCTGCCATAGGTACTAATGCGGTTGTTCGCAAACAGTATTGTCAGAGGAAAAGTAGTGTCCGATTGTGCTGTTGAAAATAACTTTGGAGGGTGCATACTTTATAATAATTGTAATGGAAGTACGCACTTTAAGTTATGTGCGTGTAATGGCTGACGTTCACATTGGACCACCGATCATTCATATCGGAATTTCATTTACTCCCATTTTCAGACGATGCTTGTGGATCAGTTTGCGCAGATTTCACACTACAATCACGCCAGCATTTGGCGAGAAATGTAGTAAACACAGGCTCAAACTTCCCACGAGTGCCTGCACTAATGACTCTCGCGGACTGCGACAGCCTTCGCCATCGGAGGTGGAGCCAAGTGTCAGAAGGCGAGGGAGAAGGTAGTTTTCCTTTTTTGCTAACAAGTCAATCCGTGACAACTGAATTGCAAAGCATCTGCCGCATGACTCTCTCCCAGCCTCCGGTATTTCAACTCGTCATATCTCTTAAAGTCAATTCAGATGCGTGTATCTAATTAGCCTTTAAATGGACTCGACTAAACTAAGTGCGTTTAAGGGTTTTGGCGACGGAGTCCACAGCGTCGATCTCACTTTTTGTCCCATCTCTCTCCCGCACTAGTCTACTCTCCGTGGCGTTTAGTCATGTGACATCGGGATTGAGTGCAGGCAGGTTGCATGTCATGAGACACCTCCCCCATGGCGTGCCATCAGCCTTTCCCCTCTTACCCAAGTGTGGCATTTGTTGTGGGATAGGCGAACTCTGCACAACCTAGTTAGATACTGCTCTACACTAACCTGGTACTCTTTTTGGTCCAGCGTATCCCTCGAGTGTACCGTTGAAGGGGCTGGTCTTCCGCGGGCCTGACCGGCTCGTTTATAATGCAGAAAATTTGACTGCTTCCACTGATGTGGAAGATGTCAGGAAGTTTGTTTTTGGTCCATACGCTTGCATGGAATAGCAGGTGAGAGAAAATGTGGACGAATGTCTTATTTTTTTAAATTGAACTGTGGCAAAAATCGTCTCTTGAAATGCGAGTTAACCTTTCTTTTGAACACGACTATCGTTAGATACAGAGTAGTCCCTGTTCAAAGAAGGATAGAGCGGAACCCGCACTGCACCATGTGGTTTCAAAGTGAACTTCAGTTCAATCATAGAACAGTCCTCGTCCGAATGCCTGGGGATTGACACTGCAGTGGGTTCCGGCTGTGTACTTCGTGGTGTGATAGTTGGAAACTCAGTCAGTCTACGGTCGCAAATGGCGGTGGCAATGAACATTTCCGGTCGACGTTGCGGGGCATTGTGGGCGCATTGGGGTTCGAAATCAAATATGATGTGCGTCAGCGCTACATGCTGAGACTAACCACTCGAGAGCATTATAGGTGAATACTGAGGTGGACACTGAGGCTACAGCGTTTGCACAGACGATAAGTCATCCAGTTGATCAGGCGAGTAAGTGAGTCCGCAACTCCGGATGGGCCTTGGACAAGAAGCGCTGATAGGGTTTGAAATTATTTACCAACTTGTAGGCGTGTACAATTAACGGTCACTTCAGTTAATATCAGTGTACATGTATCTATTGTTGCAGAGATCACGGGGGCGTTTGGGGATGCGCCCACCACCCGACACTGCTCTCATTCTCTTCTGCCAAATGTGAGAAAACGATCAGTTAGGAGGAGGAAGAGTGACAGAGTACGACGATGGTTCGACGCCCTCGTCTGCTGTTGTGTAGCCATCGGGAACGAATCGGAACCCGACTGATTTCAAAGTATGTACATAGGTTTCTGTAAATAAAACGTCCTGTCTCACAGATTTCTTATTTTGTCATATGGAAATGGTGGCAAAAGGGGTTTATCGGGGGATGGACAGTAACATAAGGGTATTCAGTTAGTCCTTATGTACTTATGTTTAAATTATTTTTAGACAGTGTATCCCCGTTTGGTTATTCTTCGACCGAGTACTTTTGCTTTATTTTTCCGGAAAATAATGTTCTATCCTACTATCAGACGAATGAGATTTGTTTTTAGGTGCTGTGGGGAGTTTTCAGTTTGGGCAAAATGCCTGTTGGTCTGGATAGGAATGGTATGATGGGCTAAGCGACCGTATTCGACAGAAACGGAAACCAGCGTTGTCGTGCTCCAAAGTAGTTGACATTGGTATTACATCTCATCAGGGCGTTCCGTCTGAACGATCGGTGAGCGCCCCCTAACATTGTATATTCCCGATCGAAAACCGACAGGGCAACGGGCTCGTGGCCCGGTGAGTAGAGGCGTTGACTTCTAAACCAACAGGTCGCGAGTTCGAGGCTCGGGTGTTCCACACTTCGGGCTTGGGTATGGCTGGCTGACGACGGCTAATAAGCCAGAAATGGCCATTCCAGTCTCCCTTGTCTTTGTCGGTAATACTATTCTGCGTATCTTGTCTCACGCACAAAAAGCCACGCGTGGAAAGGTAGTCCAATAGGTTTAAAAGTGAATAAGACTGGTCGTATGTTAGGATTCCGAAAAGCTCTGATGTGCATTTTCCTGGCTGGAGTGCCATAAGCGCGCCTTGTATAACCAAAGTATGCTAGCTAGTTTAATATGCGATCTCGGTTGATTTAAATAGTACATTCGATCCAGGTTTGAAAGCATCGGTTGCTTCGGTAGGATCAGAACCCACGACACCAAGCGCAAGGCTCTAGCTTTTTTTAGCTCCGAGGCTCCGGATGGGAACCGTGAGCTTTAATGAGTTATGTTATGTTTGCCGCCAAACCTACTGAAAACTAGGGAATCCGTCAAATCTGATACATGAGACTGACTACCCAAGCGGAATTTCCAAAGTAATCAGTCTAGACCTCACAAGATGACTTTCAGGCTCACTTAATTAATAGGTGTTTTGACAGATTTGAGTAATTCGTCTAACCCAAATCGGATCCAAATCAAGACTGCCGGTCAGTGACCTCAGAACTCAGATGGTTAGAGTGTTGGTCATACTCAATCCTCGTCCTTGACGTCGCGGATTCGAATACTACCGAGGTCGCTGAGTTTCTCCATGAAGAGTTACTTCTGACCTGTTATGCCCACTCAGCTCCTGATGATCTAACCCGCAGTATTGGATGACTTGAGCTTTGAATTCCCTATCAGGGACTTTCGAGGCGCTAGATTCCGAGGTCATATTTACTAAACGTACGGTTAAACCACAGCAAAAAAGAAAGATGTTTATTTCCTTCCCGTAATAAGGATGGCCCGTCAAAGGATATCATCTTAAATGCACTGCACTAAGGCTTGGGCATTCGTTAGAAATGTGAATTATTATAGAAAGTTGTTCTAGTGATTAGGGTTTTGGGTTGGATATACGGGCTAGGGGTTGGTGATCATGGTTGGGGGTCAGGATTTTCGGTTATATTTACGGATTAGGCTTATGGGTTAAGTAATAGGGCTAGGGTTTAGGAGTTAGGGATTGGATGCCAGA